TTAATTAAAAAATTTTAAGGGGGACCGTATGTCCTCCTATACTAAAGTTAACTTAATTTTGGGAGGGTTTGTTTAATGCCCCCCTTTTTTTAAAAATTACCACCTCTTTCGGGGGCCCCCTTCCCCCCCTAAAACAACTTCTATCCGGGGACATTATTTGGGTTTTGGTCGGGTTAAAAGTCTTTTTGGATTATAAAAATTAATTTTTCCGGGAAACCTGGAAAACATGTAAAACCCCACCAAACCGATTTTTTCGTTTCACGATTCGGGAATTTTAATACCCAGTTACAACAATTAACAAGACGTTGCTATAATAATTACAAGGGGGGGGAGGGTCCACCTCCATTAATCTAACGATGTTGTAAACACGGTTTTTTCCCCGGACATTTTTTGGGCCCCGGGTTTAAATTTTACTATAAAAACCACTATTCCCCCGGGCAACATTAACGTTCACGGGGGACCCAAGGGTTTTTTCCAACATTCTTTCAGTGACTTATTAATTTCCTTACGCTTTTTAATGCCAAATTTTTTCCCCTTTGGGTTTCACCCTTAATTTACCCAAATGGGTTTAAATCCGGGGTTTTTTTTTTCCCCGGCCCCCTCCGGGGGGCGCACAGAACCGTTTTCATTATTTTTTTTTTTTCCCATTTTTTGACCCATAACAATTTCACTTTAAGGGACTTTGTTCGAAATTTTTTTTAAAGTGGGGCCATAAACCTTAGGGGGGAATAATTTTCGGGCAATTTTTAAGTCAATAAAAAAAATGCCCGAGCCCCCCCTTTTCCCCCCAAACCGAGGGGGGGCCCTTTTTCATTTTTTTTAAATCTTTTTTGAAAATTTAAAAATTAAACCCCCCTTTTATTATACCGGAAAAAAATTTTTAATAGTTCAGAAAATTTTGTGGGAATAAAAAAAATTTTTTTGAAAATTTTTTTTTAGTAAAAAAAATTTTACCGGGGGCCGGGGTGTTTCCGTATAATTTAGTTTTAAAAATGTTGGGTTTTTAGGAAAATTTGGGGAAACACCTGTATAGGACAGCAATTTTGTAGTTTGGGTTAGAAACCTACAAGTTGATGGGTAATTGTTTATAAAACCCATTGGGCTTTTGAAAAATTTTCCCCAGCCAGGGGCTTCCATCAATTTAAAATTTTGGGGAAATTTTAAATTGGGGGGTTATTTTGGGGATTTTTATATTTTTTTAAAATTTTTAAAAAAATTTTTTTTTTTTTTTTTTTTTTTTTTTTTCCCCATTAAAAATTAAATTATATAATTCCCTTTTGACCGATGACATGATCCAGGCTGGGGGGGATGATTACCTCAAATTCCTGATCTAAAAATTTTTCTTTTTGGACTGAAGGAAGCCGCTAGTGGCAAAACATCCCACAAGAACTAAAGTGTTACTGTGTCTCATTCCCAAGAACGGGCTTCCTCCTAAAAATTTATTATATAAAAAAAAAATGGAGGATTAAAAAAAACGGTTTTAATTTAAAAAATTGATCCCCCATATTTGGAAAAATTTAAACCCACCCAAAAAATTATTATAAAAAAAAACACATTTAAAACACACTGCTTCCCTGACAAAAGATGAGAAAAACCCGCGCAGGAAACATTGCCCTTTTTTCCTGACCAATTTTAAAAATAATGCTGAGACAAATATACTTGGCCCAGTTAAAAACAAATCTAACTTATGTGTTAAATTAAACAGCTAGGAAACTTTAGGCACTTAGCCTTTGAATGTGATAATGGTTATAATACGAGTTGATAAGTCAGCAGGAAACTTTTTTCCCTACAAGTAAGCTTCTTCGTCGAGTACAGGGGAGGCAGCAAGCAGGGGGGTGAGATGTAAGGGGTTCATCGTTCATCACCCCTTGAAGAGTATTTTTGAGGGGGTCGTCCCTCACCCAATTATTAATTTAGTGTAAAACTCCGCCTTCCTGTCGTTTTAGTTTTGCGCTTCACCATTTATTTGTCTCCATAATGTTGTTCCAACCAGAGAGGCTGAGGGACTGACCAATCAAAACTACGTTTCAAGGGTATGAACTGATGAAGTTTTTTTGTAATTATGTGAGAAATTACCGAAAATTTTTTACGGGTATTACCAAATTTTTACAAGCAATTTTAATTTGGGGGTCGATAAGGGGGAAATTTAAGTCACGTAGGTTGAGGATGAAACTCCCCGATCCCCCTTTATCATCACTCTCACAAAAAGCTAGCCTGACTTTAAATTTAAAAATTGAAATATTAAAACCCCCTCTGGGGAAAAATTTAAAACTGGGGACCGTATATGTTAGGTTGCTGGAACTACAAAAAAAATTCGTATTACCACTTATCATTTAATTTTGTAGAGGGATCACCCCCAAAAACCCCTGCCGCAACTGACCCTACACTGGCAGCTAGGTTAAATGAAAGGACTAATGGCCATTCCCTTTGTGAGTGATGATCAACCCCTTATCTTCCGCCATCCCCCCGTAATTTTTGAGGCCCCGCAAATTTCCTGTCCCAATTCTTGGGGGGACATTTAATAGGGGTTTCCATTACAAATTCGACGGGAAACCCCAAATTTGGCCCCCATGTCCCGGATTATTAACTAAATTTTTCTACGAAAAAACCAATGTCCAAAATTAAAATGGCATCTTCCCTTAGATCACTCCCCCGGCTGTTCTGCATCCCCCCCTCACTCGAAATTTTCGAACGGTAAATCGATCACATTTTAAATTATAAAAAATTTATAAATTTTTTTCAAAAATTTTTAATTTCCCCCTTTTTGCGGGGAATTTAGATTTTAGGAAAATTTTCCAAAAAATTTTCCCCCTTGTCTTTAAAATTTTTTTTTTTCCCTTTTCCCCCCCCTTTCCGGGGGGCCCCTTGGCCCCTTTTCGGGGAGGCAAACCTGATGGGGGGAAAAAGCCTTTTTTGGGCCAATTGTAGGAGAAACCCCTTTTTCTGAAAATAAAAAATATATTTTTACTGATTTGGTGGCACCTTTGATCGGGGCTTTAAAACTTTTGCCCTTATTAAAAAATTAATTAAAAGGGAATGGGGGTGCCTCCCGGCGGGCCTTTCCCCCAAAATTTTTTTTTCCCTTCCGCCTCCCCCTTTTTTGGTTTGGTTAAAGGGGGGTCGGACCCTTTTTCTATTCAAAACAATACCCGCTTTTTTTTTTTTTTTAAATTTTTGTACCACCTTTTTTCCCCAAAACTGCCTTTCTCCTTTTCCCCCCTTTTAATAAAATAAAATTTTACCTAATTCTGCTAGGAAACAAAACCCTTTTCCCCTTTTTGGAAGGTGGGGGGGACTAATTTTAATTGATTGTTAAAAAACCCCCTTAAATTTTTTGGAATGATTTTGTATTTTCTTAAAAATTGAAAAAAAATTAGGCTTATGGGGGTTAGTAATATTTATCAAAATCCTTAAAATATTACATAAAACCCTTCAAAAGGGAGTGGAAAGGGAAAATTTCTTATCATCTAAAAAACATTAACTTACAAAATTTTTTTTAAATTTTTTTCTGTTTTTTTAACAAATTTAAAATTTAACTTTTTGTTTTATTTATTTTTTATACTTGTTAAAGTCTAAATTTTTTCTTTTTGAATGAAGAATAAGGCCCCTTTCAATATTTTATTTTTTGGAACGTTTGCACCTGGTTCTTTTTTAAAAAAAGACCAAAAGGAGAGGATTTTGGGGGTATAATTATAAAACCTAAAATATGGTTTCATCCAAACCCCCATCCCCCCCCAGGGATGGTAGGTGTCCCCGAGCTCAGTAAAAAACTTAAATTCCAAACCCCTGGGGGGGTCAGGAAACCTAGTTTTACGAAAGTAGGGGGGGGGTTTTTAATTTAAGGGGGTACTTGTGCCTCCCAAAAAAGGCAGGTTTTTTGGTTAAAAAATAACAGGGAATAAGGGGGAATTGGAAAAAGGCCCGGCCGGGGGTTTCCTTCTTAATAAAAAAACGGCTGAAAGGGGGGATGGGAAAATCAACCCAACGGGGGACTGTTACCTAAACCCCCCAACCTTTTCTTTTTTAATTTTTTGTTGGGCTAAAGGCCCGTTGCAACCCAAAGTACCAAAATACTAAAAAATGGGTTTTAAACCAACCATTTTTAAATTTACAGTGCTGGTTTGGGGCCCAGTTCCAGGGAAAGACTTGTTATATGGGCCCCAAAATTAAAAGGAGAAGGCCCCAACATTTAAAAAAGCACAGTGAAAAATTTAGGAATCGTTTCCCCTAAGGATCTTCAGTCAAGGGGACTGGACCCAAACTTTTCTCCGGGGAGGGGACTGATAACATCATTTTTTTACCCACTTCTTCCCATTTCCAAGACTTTAACAAAAGTCCCCCACGTAAAATTTCCCAAAGGGTTTTTCAATTCTTTTTCAAAATTAATAACGTCCAAATGGCAGAAACCTTTTTAAGATTTTTCATTGGAACGTAGTGAGTGTTTTTTAAGTTACCCTTTACCCTAGATTTCCTGGGGGGGTACGTGTGCCCTACAAACAAATAATTTTTAAGGGAGGGTTGGCGGATAAAGCTTCTTATGGGCCGTAACCAAAGGGGCCTTTAACCAAAAGGACCACCCCCAGGGCTTCCTGTTTTACTAACAATCTTTTTGCCAAACCCACTTTGGAGCATTTTTCTAAAAATAGGAGATGGTGTTTAAATTTCATTATGTTTTCCTGCCCGGGCGTTTTTTTAAAAAGTAAAATTTTTTTAAGGCTATCAAAGATTTACAGTTGTCAGAGACCGGTTTGAAAGCCAAAGGGTGTTTACAAATTCGATAGGTTTTTTGATGGCATTTGTTTAAAAAGTAAAGGTGTTTTAAATGGGTTATTTCTTTTGAAATTGGGCCGTACCTGAAAGAGGTTTTTTAAATGCCAATAGGGTTAAAAAGCCAGTGGCTGTGTTACGTCTAGGGGGTTTTTCAATGCGGGGGGTTGTTCAATGTCGTGGGTTTGTTACCAGTCTAGGCTGTTTAAAATGTCGTAACTTTTTCCAAAACCCTACTTGGTTACACATGCAGGGGCTGGTTCAACTGCATGGGCTGTTTTAAACCCAGCCAGTAGGCTGTGTTCCCAACATGTCGTGACTGGTTCAACTGCCGTGGCTGTGTTCACACTTCCGTAGGCGTTGGTTCCACTGCCGTAGCTGTGTTCAACTGTCAGTGCTGTGTTCACCTGCGTAGGCGGTTAAACGCCATTGGGTGTGTTTCCCAAAGTCATTTGATGGTTCACACATGCCGTAGGCTGGTTCACCATGCAGTAGCTGGTTCACCATGCCAGTAGGCTGTGTTCACAACATGCCATAGCTGTGTTCCCATGCAGTGGTGTTTTCACCATGCGTAGGCTGGTTCCAAATGAGTGGCTGGGTTCCCATGCAGTAGGCTTTTGTTCCACATGCAGTAGACGGGTTTCAACAGCAGTAGGTGTTTTCCCCCCAACATGTCAGTAGTGGTTCACACATGCGTAGCTGGTTCACACATGCGTGGCTGTGTTTACAAATACGACCGTGGTGCAAACAAACGCCAACGGGTGTTTGTTGTGTTGTGTGTGTGGGTGTTTGTGGTGGGGTTTGTGTTGTGTGTTTTTTTTTTTTCAGGGCCCAAAAGAACTTCTCCCCCCTCTTTTGTAGAGAAAGATACGCGCCCACCACTCCCAGGAAACACAGAGAGCATTCAATAAGTGATAACTTTGCATCTTCGACGTTTCTCCCCCTCGGAAGCTTTTCGCTTGTTGAACGTCTCAGGTCCAAAGTGAAGTGTGGGGGGGACCAGGATTTGAGGAGTTAAAATTATGTTAGAAGCTATTCATATTAAATCTAACTACTTTTTAGGGGGCATTATTTAGTTTGTGTATATTTCGCCTTTTCTTTGCCCCCTTCCTTTATATATATATTTTATATATATATATATATTATATATATATATATATATATATTATTATATATATATATATATATATATATATATATATATTTATATATGCAAAAAAACTTGGAAGAATTTTTTTTTTTAAAACTTTTCTTTTATAATACTTTAAGGAACTTTATTGTGAGTATCACAAAACCTGAATTTCCATTCTTTTAAAGGGGTTTTTTAATTCAAATCAAAATGTTTAGTATTTTTCAAATAAATTATAATATATTATAATTTTTTATTAATTTTTAAAATATTAATAATTTTTTTATTAAAATTAAAAAAAAAAAATAAAAAAAATTTAATAAAAAATTTTATAAACCAATAGGGGAAACTTTCGCTTACTTTAAATTTTTTTTTTTTTTTAAAAGGTAAAAATATTTAATAATAAAAAAGAAATGCTTTATTAAATAAATTACTACACAAAATTATGAATAAGCAATACATAAAACCTTAAAAAACTTAAACATTTGACCTGCTGACGCAACACAAGTACACATTCATAAAAACCACCATTAACTTTAACCCTTCCACCAATAAAACTACATTCCTTTTTCCTTAAAATTAAAAAAAAATGAAAAAGGAAACATAAAAAAAAACAAATTAAACACAAAACAATCCAAATTGAACATAATAAAGGTTTTTATAAAATATCACAATTTTAAAAAATAAAAAAAAAAACCCAAATGGATTAAAAAATTAAAAAACCTCAAAAAAATTCAAATTCAATTCATAAAAATACCAGTTTTCCAAAAAAGTGGAAACATAATACCCTTAAAAAACCAAAAGAAAAAATATACCAATGTTATAATTTAATTTTAATTTTGGATTAAATTTAAAATATTAAAAATTTAAACCCAAATTTCGGTTTTTTTATATAAAAATTTTGGAAATTGCTTTCTTACCCTTCCCCATTTAAAAAGGGGAAAACCCCCCAAGAAAACTTAATTTTTTTGCAAAAAAAAAACCTTCCCTTTTTTTTTTTTTAAATCTGTTTTTTTTTTTTTCCCCCAAAAAAAAAAACTTTTTTGTTCCCTTTCCCAAATCCAACAAAACCCAAACACATCACTGATTCCAGGAGGTGGCCCCTTGAAATCCCCGAACCCCCCCCCCTTTTACCAACCCCCCCCGGGAGTTTTTAAACCCCCCTTTTAACGCCAATAAAATTTCCCCATTGTTAGTCTCTTAACCTCAGAAAAAAACTTTCCCCCCTTTTTCCCAAAATGTCTCTATTCGACACAAAGTTCGATTAAAAAGTCGCCGCCAAAAATCCTTCTCATACATCCCCCACCCCCCTTTCCCCCCCATACCCCCTAAACATATAGTAATCACGATGAATTTTTAAACCCCTTCCACATCTCTCCACACCATTTATCAAGACTCAACGTGCAAAACCGAACACCTTTACCCCCCACCCTCCCACTACCTTACTCATCCCTACCGATGCACTCCAACCTTCCAAAAATAGAGACTGATAGCAGTCTCTTCCCCCCTGCTCTGCCACACCCCCCCCCTCAATAACCCTCCTATCTCGGGGCATGCCCCCGTTGGAAAACCCCTGCAGGAACGGTACATAACCTACGCCCCTAGGGGGGCCTTTTTAAATTTTCTAAATCTTTGCCATTTACTCCCATGCAACATGGGGGAGATCCTTCAAATGGCGCCATACATATCCCCCCAACGATTTCACAAGTTCCCCCTTTACTTTTCCCCGGGTTTCCCCGGCTAACATTAAGGGGACGTAACAAAGTTTCACATTCCTTTATTTCGCCCTCCATACCCTTTCCTCTGTGAGCATGTAACCCTTATTAGCGACCCCCCCTCCAACCCCGCATCATACTTTCCCTCTTTAAAACACATTTCAGCGCTTTCTCAAGTCCAACAACCCCCAACCCCCCCCTACTACCGGCAAGTCACTACCTCCCTTCGCAACCCAAAGTTGACCTTCTAAGAAAAACTCTTTTATTGCCGTTCCTGTTAAAGGCATCACAGCCCCAAACAAAACCAAAATTTACTATTAGTAAAAATTGATGACAATTGCACGTTTTCCCAAGGGGTTAAAAGGTGAAGTCGAGCATTCCAACCTTTTCCCGCACCTGTTTTACCACTTTTTTTGAATTGTTTAAACCCCGCAGCCTAGGTCAGCCCCCTACAAACTGCAGATTTTCGACTCCGGTCCCCCGCGCACAACATACATCCCCCAAACTAAATTTTGCCACTCTCCCCAAACCCATGACTTTTACTTTTCCAGATTTACCTTATCCGTAGCTCTCCCAAAAGTGTGTACAACTTCCCCAAAAGTCTAACGTGTTCCTCATTTCCAAATTGGTTTTTATCAAATAGCCCCCCAAACCAGGCACGGGTTCAGCTCACCCTCCCTCCCCCCCGCCTTGAGATCCTCCACAACTTAAAGGGGTCCTGAAACATGCAAACAATATTTGTGATAAAGGACATCCTGCGAAAACCCCCCTCCATGTTGCTCCCCCCCACAAAACCCCTTTCCCTTTGCATTGGTTTTTATCCACCCCCCCTATTTCTTCGCCCAAACCCCTGTCGTAGGAAAATATCCCTCAAAGCCTTTTTTTCCACCCTATCAAAGCCCCTTTTCCAATCCAACGCCCCCAACCCCCTCTTCCCCTTTCCCTGTTTTCCCCCAGGAACCCCTTGATAATCCCCTGGCCCCCGCCCATTGACCCAAACCGGTAACCCAAACTAGACTAAAACGACCTCCCCCAACCTTTTTTAAGCCGGATTCCAAGAATTTTCGCAAAAAAATTTATAATCAGCCCCAAAAAACGAATGGCTCGGAACCCCAAAAAGGGTACTCTGGTTTACCTTTGGGACCAACCCACCACCCCCTTGCCCGGATTCTCCATCTTACCTCCTCTTTCTGGCATTTTAACCCTTTCTAGGAAACCCCCAAGCAACCCAGTGCTGTTAATAAAATTCGTTGGTAAACCATCGATTCCCCGGGTTTTCCTTACCTTCCTCTGTCCCTAAAAGGGTCTCCCCTATTTCCCCCCCCTCAATGACCCCCCCCAGTGCCTCCCCAAACCTCCTCCCAGTTTGCAGGCACATTTTCACTTTCCTTCCAAGAACCTCGCCATACCCCCCTACTTTCCCCTATTCTCAAACCATTTTCTGCATTGACCATCCCCTTTTTTGTCCCCTTAATCTGACCCCCTCTAAAAACCCCCCCAGAGAATTTTACTTGAAAACCGGTATTGTATCTTCGCTGTCGTACCTTTGTCCTCGCAGAACAAATGTGGTTGTCCCCCAAAAGGGATTCGTCCAACCCCCCCCTGTACCGTACAGCTGCAAAACGTTTTCTTTCAAACCCGTATCCTGTCCTTAACTGTGTTATCCTCCACGGGGAAACCCCGGCCACCCCCCCCCCCCCCCTCGAACAATCCCCTAATCTAGATTCTAAAATTTGACAAACCATACCCCAATTGATTAAGGGTTTTCCCTCCCTCCTAAAATTGACTATTTTAACTTAGCCCCCACTATCCCACCATCCTACCACATCTTCCTCAGTCCCTTTGTCGGCACAGAGCTGTTCCCCAAAAAATTGCAAACGCTTCCCTCCCTCCCTATCCCCAAAACCATCGTGTTCAGTTTCCAATAAAATTCCCGGGGCCCATGAGCCAAAAATCCCCTCCCCCCTCCCCTAATACCGCCCCCATGACGGAAGACACCTTCAATAGTTTTAAAAAACTTACCAAAAACCCCTGAGTAAATTAAAAATTTTCCAAAAGAGCCGCATATCCCCTTCTTTAAACGGTTTTGTTCCCCCTCCAAGACCTCCCGAAAGCATCCGTAATGAAGATCCCAAGCAGGCCCCCCAAAATGAGGAAAAAAATCCCGCTCCTTGGGTTCCCCGTCTGTCCTCTTAATTCCAATTCCAATCCCCCCCCCACAATCGCCACAGAGGTAAGTGGTGGTAGTACCGAGCTCCTCCCCCACAAAATCCATCTTCACTTTCACGTCACTTTCTGCTGGGGATACAACACACAAAAGCCACCTCTCCCATCCCCCATCCTTCCACACTAAAACTCTCCCCCCCTCCCCCCCTCTTTCCCATGCCCCAAACAAAGGGGGGGGGTCGCCTCCCCCATCAAAACCCACTCCCCTTTTAAAGCTCAGACGGTAAAACTAAGCCTGATACCCACACCCCTAATTCGACCAAGCTTAAATTGTTTCTCCCGCACAAAAGCTCGTCAAAACCCTTGTAAACCTTTCAAAAACATCCCGAAGCACTCCCTTTTTAAAACCCTCAACAGACCCTTTTATTTATTGTTTCAACTGGGCCAGTTTAAGTTTCTTCCCGGCCTCATGTCAAGATTTTCCCTTTTTAGACCCTTTCCCTGGACTGTGCCTTTGTCACAGACTCCCCCCTCCCTTTCCCAAACCATCCCCCCCCTTCTGTTGTGGCCCTCTCGCGGTCATCGGGTACCATAACCCCCTGTCTTTTTTCCCGGCCTTTTCGCCCCCGGCGTCAGAACTCGTCCCAATCTGAGCTGCTGCCCCCCTTTTCCTTGTAGCTCCCTCAGTTTCCATATCTGAGTCCTGGGGGCGACAAGGGCTTCAAACCCCTTCCACCCTTTTAAACCGCCTCCCCTGTCCTTCCATGGCAAATTGCATTTTCCACCCCAGGTGCCACCGATCCTCCCCTTCCCCCACCCCACCTTTGCCCTGATCCAGGGTTTTTGTTCGCTGTAAATTCCACCTCGTAGACTGTAACATAGCCTGTATCACCGTCTCCAACTCCCCCTCAATAGCCTTTATGCTGCGCCCTCCCCACTCCCCCACTTGACAACTTTCCTGAGGGCCAGGTGATATGGATACCACTTCTTCCGGGTTCCAAGGAAGGGGACCCCCTCTTTACTCCACTGTGACCCCGCCCTCCTTGCCCCGTTTTCTTAGGCATTTGGGTGCTCTGCCGGGGCTCCGCCCCTTGCCGACCCAGGAGCCCCTGTTGATGGGCCAGGTGATTCATGGATCACCCCTTCTTCCATTCCCAAGAGGAGCCACTACCTCTTCATCCACGCGACCACGCCCCCCTCCTTGCCCCCCTTCTTCCTTAGCATGGGTTTCTCATGCCAGGTGCTCCGGCCCCTGCCGGCCCCGGAGCCCTACTCCCCTTGCCCCCAGTCTGCCCCCCCATTTGGGGCCATATTCGCCTACAGTCGGCCGTAGTCTCTGCCCGCATACGCTACCATTACCTGGGTCTAATTTTTGGATATAATACGAGGGGATAGGATGCCTTAGCTATTTGGATTAAAAGAACCCTCAGGAAATCCCGGTAAGCACCCCTTTTTCCCATTTTCCAGGGTTTGGGGAGATGTCAGTTCCATAACTTCGAAAAACATTTCGAATATCTACCTCATCGCCTCAAAAGGCCGTTGCGGAGTTAACCCGAATAAAGTCTGATAATCCGTCAACTTGACCCTCATGCCGGTTTGTTAAGCTGAATCTTGGGAACGATCAACCAAAGCCTCGTATATTTAGAAGTTGCACTTTTACGAAAATTCTATTCACCGTTTTAGTGCCACTCCATATAAATCCTGTCTCGTGCCATTTGTTTCTTATAATTTTTGGGGAAAAAAACATCGACTGAGTAGGCGTTTTTTTTTAAACCCCCCTAATGAGTTCAATGCCCACAGTATTCACTCTCCTGCGCACACCTGGTGCCATGTTGTTGACTGAGTAGCTCGTCTGGGAAACAGTAGAGGGGTGCAAAGCACGACTGCACTCTACATCATCCAGGCAGCGAATGCACAACACCTCCTCGTACACTGCTGTCAGGTTACTGAGGAGCGTCAGGCAAGGGGGTCTACACAGCCCAAGAGCGATGCAGACAATAGCTTAAATAGCAACGTTCTTGCCATATAGGACAAGCGAAAATTTGTGTATGCAATAATTTCGCCAAAATCATTCTGAACCTAACGAAAAAAGTACATTTCATTGTGTTTGTTTAGTATTAAATTATTGTAAACAAATCTAAAATATATTTAGTTGGGTTAGGCTAAAATAAATTGCGCTTGTTATATTAAGGTTAGGTAAGTTTTCTAAGTTCATTTTGGTGCAAAATTATAAATTTTTACATCAACATTAATGAAAAAATATATCTTTAAACGTGTAAGAGAAAATTTCAGAAAGGACTTAATTTTAAATGAGTTCTTGCTAATTGACCAGTTTTACATATTCGGCACGACATATATATATATATATATATATGAGGGATGGTTGGTACATGTGAATTAAAGCCTAATTTGAAAATTATTATTATTATTATTATTATTATTATTATTATTATTATTATTATTATATGAGCAAATCACCTGCAGGAGGCTTACATGGCATTATCTGAATTATTACCTGCAAGTAATTTGGGTGAGGTGAGTGAGACTTAGACACAGTAGGTCATTGAACTGTCACTCTTTCGATGCCCACTCCCTACCTGTCTCACAAAAAGCTAGACCTGACATTAAATTAATAATTATATTAAAATCAGCTACTCTGATAATTAAAGTTATGTGGACGGTATGTTATTTTGATTTACTTGCTGGGTACACAAAAATATAACTATTAGTACAATACATATAACAATAATGTTATTAGAAAAGAACTTTGTATACCACTTACCATTTAATTACTGTAGATGAATCACACCGCAACACCTTCCTAACACCTAACACTGGCCAGTTAGAGATCTAAATGCAAAGACTAATGATCTACTTCTCTGTGAGTGATGTTTGTATCCCATATTTTCCGCCATACACGTAATTCTTGAAGGCCCACAAATTTTCTGTCCCACAAATTTTCTGTCCCAATTCTTCAGCAGGGGACATTAACACGGGTTCCTAATTACAAGTTCAGGCCGAAACACCCCAATTTGGCCTCCGAGAACGCCCGATCTTATTGTAAAACTTGGTCCAGTCCTCACATTGAATTCAGTATATCGTCTCCTTCGGCGTCCCTACTGGCTGCTCTACACCCCCTCCCCCCCCTTCCTCGAAATTTCTCGAAGGGTCCAAATAGCATCTTATTTTAATACGCAAATATTATATTATTCATTTATATGTTCTATATTTTGGAAATTATGTAAAAATTCCCACGTTTAATAATAAGGGTCATCATGGCTGCAGTTCGCTGCGTATATACATCTGTGAATATAGAGATTCACATCTCGGTGTATATACCCAGCATCACATAGATGCAGGGTATATTCTATGAGCTATTATACAGGTCCCTTCACAACCCGTTCTCATACAGCAGACCCAAAATTTTTAAGCAATTTGGACTGAAGTGGCTTCTAGGGCCTTACATAATCAGCCGAGAAAACTTTAATCCTTAAAACAGGTTGTAAATTATACTCTTAGTGAATATATACAGAGATATGCTTTAGAAAAACACGTAAGCAAACACTACGACATTTTTATTAGAACACGTTTCGGTCCTGGGACCTTGATCAAGGTCCCAGGACCGAAACGTTTTCTAATATGTCCTAGTGTTTCATTACGTTTTTCTCTAGACCAACTTGTCGGTATTTATTACCAAGGTGAACAGCGGTGAACAGATATACACCTCTTCGTTATGTATACTGTCCAGTAGGTAATGTTAAAACCAGAGTTGAGTAAGACAGCTGGAGGTGATGCGTGTAAATGTGCTCTCACGTGTGTAACAGTTGAGTATCTATATTGTTGAAGCGTTACTACTACACAGTAGGCTTCTTCAGTCAAATTCAGAGGCAGCAGGTGTAGAAAAACGAAATGGAGATGATGTAATCAGTCCATCAACCTTGGAGAAATTATTTGAGGTGGTCAGTCCCCAAACACTATTTCTTCAAGGTTAATAGAGTGATTACATAATATTCACTACTACACCTGCTACTCGTGTATTTGACTGAAGAAGCCTACTGTGTAGGAGAAAGGCTTTATACCATTTTTAACCTGTCCTCTCACCGTACAAAAAGGTGCCTGGCTGTTAGGATGTGGTGCCAGGTGACGAGGGAGAGTCCTGTCTATAGACCCGGCAGTGCCATAGTACGTCTCCCAGAGCTGTTGTCTCTTGCCTCGTCCCACAGTGCCAGACGGTGCTTCCTGCAAGAGAAGCAAAGTTAACTCTCACTGCAGGGGAAAAGTAAAGTCAGATGACAACGAGGCTACCTTATGCGTAACGGATTTAAGTTAGATAAATTTAGATTTAGAAAGTAGTTAGGTAAATACTGATTTTCAAAGAGTTGGGGTAATAAGAGGCTAGGACCTTGGGTAGCTTTAAAAAGAGATTGGACAAATATATGAGTGAGAAGGGCTGGGTTTGATTAATAAATAAGATACTGAAGCTAATTCCTGGGTAACTTCGGGAAAAGGTTGGAGAAGTGGGTGAGTGGAAATGGTTGGTTTAGAGATGGACCTGTCTTGTATGGCTGCACTGTTCCTCCATTCTTATGTTCTTGAAGAAAATAAATGGTATAAAATACCGACACAATGGAAACATAAACACATATGCAATTTAATGTGATCCTTTATTGGCAACGTTTCGCCCAACTTGAAAAAGCCCACTGTGTGGGCGAAACGTTGTCAATAAAGGATCATATTAAACTGCATATGTGTTCATGTTTCTCTTATGTTCTTCAGTGTAAAGCACTAACAAACATTGCAAAAGCACTACAGAGCACTAAAGGACACTGCAAAAGCACTAAACAACGCTACAGAGCCCTAAAAAAAAGACAAAAACATAAAGCACTACAAAAACACTGAAGAGCACTAAAAACTCTACATAAACTTTGAAAAAAATACAAAACAAAAACACTAAGATAATGATTGACTGACAAGTATTGGGATCTTAAGTATTGGAAGTTGAACCTACCTGGAACCTGCCTCTGTAGCTTTCTGAGATGGCCCATATGCCCTTATGATCGGTGTCGCTGGTTGCTTGTTTCGTGGGTTCCGTAGCCACCTGGTGAAGGTTCCTTCCCTGCAGAGGCTCCAGCTCATCACTGTCTTTGTGGTGGAGCTTGAGAGCTCTTCCAGGTACAGGGGAAGACCTTCTTGGTGCCTGGTGAGCTCCTCTTCCCGCTCCTCGCTCCAGACTGCCCGGGTTGATGGTGTCAGCGGTGAACTTGACTCTGCGTTCGTGTTTGATGTCTACGGCATCATCCACAGTGATGTCATCCAGATCGAGCCACTGCATGCGGTGCAGAGGAGCTCCCTGCAGCTTCTCGCTGATCTTCTTCTGGAAGGCCGCTAGTTTGTCGGGGTCCAGGAACTTGTTGGCAGGCATGAGTGGCTTGCCATTATGGTGGATGAGTGGAGGAGGACTGGGAAAGCGTGGGCGGCCGTTGTCCTCCAGGAAGGATGGGTTGTCGATGCCTCCAATGACAATGTCGTTAATCTCCGCATAGCTGCCCGACGACTTGGTCTCCAGGGATGGATGACTAGAATATCTGATGCTCTCCAGGCTGTAGGGTTCCTCGTAAGTGCCTGAACTTCTGTTGGTTGTAGTAGTGTTATCACTTTCCAGTCTCTTCAAGTGCCGTTCACTGGTCATCTCAGAGGAACTAACACTTCTCAGCTGCTCTACGCTGCTTCCAACAGACAGTCTCCTCGACGGGTCTTCAGGTTCCTCTAATCTATTGTCTAGCAAGTCGTCATTCACTATAAGTTTTCTACCATTTGTTTTTAAGCCGCTTTTTTCCCATAAATCTTTCACTGCTGACAGCCCTCGTTTTTTGGCACAGATCTTGTGGCTAGGAATTGAAATATCAAAGCTTTTACTTCTGACTTTATAAGGAGGTTTGACGATATCTTTGGTATTGAGCGAGGCGGCTCTATTGAGCGTGGCGTAAAGTCCTCTAGTGTACATGGCTTGGCTGAAGTCTGGCATGGCGATCGAGTGATCCGTCTGAGCAACATTAATAGGAGACTCGTAGTGGTTCTCTTCTAGGAGGTCTTCCTCCCTGCCGTACCTCATCATGCGGAGAGTCTCCTCAGTGACCAGTGAGTCTGGCTGGAGAGACATGAGCACGTAACTGGAATTACTGTGCTCGCCGCCAAAGTATCTGGTAATGCTGGTCTCTCTGTCATCGTGATGCAGCACTAGTTTCTTTGTTTGTGTTACGTCGTGACTCGTGGTGTTGGCACTGCCTGGCACCGGTCTGGGGAGCCCCGGGGTGAAGCTTTTGGCACGCTTTGGCATCACGTCTATAGCCGTCACATAGCGAATGTCCTGCTTGAGAATGTCCACTGGACTAGGGACACGCTGAGACTCGGGGCGAGTGAACGACTCTCTCACCTGCTGCAGAGTTCTTTTGCTTGCTACTTGATACTGGTCATCAGCGAGGCCGGTGTCTCGCGGCCAGATGGGGCGAGGTACCGTCGAGGAGCCAGACTGCTGGAATGGTCGATGTTGACGCACAATTTCCAGAGACCGAGTTCGACGTAGTCCCATCTCGATCGCCTGGACGAACTCCGGATCCTTGGAGACAATGGCGGCTATGTGCTTCCCTCTAACAGATACCAAGTTAGATTTTCCCTTCCTCGGAGCCCCTGACGCATCCAGGGATAAACGTAGCTGAACCGCTGACTGAGATTCCTTAACCTCGCTACTACCCTTACCATTATCCTCTCCTGCTACCCCCTCCTCACCCAGTGATATTCGCCGACTACCATCGCCAGCGTACGAAGATGACGCCGAAGTTGTTCTGACCTCAGCTCCCAGAAGGTCATCGTCATCGTGGGCGTCTGACCTCTCTGACGCAGAGTCCGTCTCTTTGGACCCATAGCCCGAGGAGCGAACTGAACTGCGATCAATGGGAGGAGATTCGAGTAGGACCTCCTCCTTCTGTCTTATCTCCAGCTCCTGGACCTCTTCGTCTTCCTCCAAGCCCTCAGTAGTCCCTGTCTCATCTTCGTGATACAGCGGGTTCACTCTGCAGGGAAGACACACACGTCAAACAAGGAATACAGTCATGTGTACAATACAGCGAATTATCAAGAATAAGTCACAAAAGAGAGAGACACTGGGGAGACTATGGCTTTTACATTAAGATTCTTCGTTCCTCTCCCTCCCAGCCATCACGAACCAGTCACCTTGTCATGGTAACCGGGCGAGTGGATGGCTTCCTCTCCCCGCTCGTATTTCTATCCCTTTTTTTCTAGGATATTTACTTGAGAAATGATCCCCAGACGCCTGTGACCACAGCCGAGTGTATAGATCAGAACACCCAAGTACCTAGTGAATACGATAAACAATAAAAAGTTCTGATCTATACACTCGGCTGTGGTCACAGGCGTCTGGGGATCATTTCTCAAGTAAATATCCTAGAAAAAAAGGGATAGAAATACGAGCGGGGAGAGGAAGCCATCCACTCGCCCGGTTACCATGACAAGGTGGCTGGTTCGTGATGGCTGGGTTACGCAAGCGTTTACTGTATATCAATCAGGTCACTTCCTGAAAGTGAAAGTTGCCTCCCATGCTTTTTTATTCTCTCTCTTTACACAAGGCTTTTTACATGCTTAGGTAAAGAGTTTCTTATCTTTATTTACAAGTTAAGAGCTGTTACTTATCTCAGGTCAGTTGAAAGTCTTATCTTGAGTTATCTGTACTGCATTTTTACTGTTATGAAATATGCAAATAGGGAACAGGTGAAGTTGGAACCATCTGTGAGGCAGAGAGTTTATTTGGTCTACTGAGATAGTGTCATCGTTGTTGTTATGCTGTACGAACATGTTCCAGACTTGAGTCATTTTAGGAATGAATGAGAAAGATACAGCCAGAACGTAGTTGTTGTTGTTTGCAGAGTGGAACCAAGTGTGATACTTGAAAATATTGGCCTTATACATGATAGTGAGGTCACTTACATACCTCCCGTGTTAAATGCTCTATTGTATTTACATATCTTTCCAGGCTGAGTCCAGACGACAGACGAGTCGTCTTGCTCGGTTCTCTATTCTGTCCAGAAGTCGTAGAGGAGACGAGAGAGGGATGCAGGCAATCCAAGAAAGTGGAGCATACTCAAGGTAAGAGGGTTCCAACACACTCTCATGTATTCTTACCACTGCTCCAGCATTACCATCATCCTGCCTAGAGACCATCATTATCTGTGTTTTCTTAGAAGCAAATGCAACCTGACATCGTCTACCCAAGGCTGATATAACTAAGCTGGTGATTGATGTAACTTAGAACAGCTGGAATTTCCTCTTTTGGATAAGTAAATAACAGGCTACAGTCGTCTGCATATGCATGAGATTCTGGGATGAGATGAAGGTCATTGAAGTAGACATTCCATAACATTGGCCTAAGCACACTTCCCTGTGGAACACTTGTACCAATAGGAAGTCTTGCTGACTCTGTCCCATTGAGAATTACTCTTAGAGATCTACCTTGAAAGTAATTACTGAGGAGGCATAGTGTAGAGCCAGCGACTCTTAATGCTTCTTGTTTTGCCAAGAATTCCTGGTGCCGTACTCGGTGGAAAGCACCAGCAAGGTCCAGTGCTACTACAAGCTGACGTTGGGTTTATCTAGAGTCTGGTGCCACTTACTGGAGAAGTTTAACAACAGATCAGCAGCAGAGTGACCTTTTCTGAAGCCATATTGACGGCCACAAAGAAGTGAATGGTAGTCGAAAAACTCCGTCATCTGCCGTGAGATTATTATCAAATGAATCTAGCCAGTGATTGGCAAGAGTGACACTGGTCTGTAGTTGCTGATTTTCTCTCTGCTCTTCTTTTTGTAAACATGGACTATATTTGCCTCTTTCCACAGAGAAAACCATTTACACTGTGCTAGGTACTGCTGAAAGATGCGAGTTAGAGGTGCTGCTAGCTAGTCTGCACATCTACTCAGCACTCTTGGGCTCAACTTATCCGGGCCCAACAGCTGTTTCCTGTTGAAGGGATTTAAGGGGAGACAGGCTTCATCCTAGCTTATTCTCACTTCTGACAGCTTTGACACAGTTCTTGCGGCTACACAGGAGGTTCCTTTGCTGTATCAAAGACCTTGCATCTTGGCAGCAAAGTCTTCAACAAGTAGGTCAGCATTTCCTCTTTGGTCTGACTACCAGAGTAGCGTCTGTCATATTTCTTGCCGCGGTTCGAATCCCCAGGAAACGTCAAATAAATCAATAAATAAAATATTATATATATATATATATATATATATATATATATATATATATATATATATATATATATATATATATATATATATATATATATATATATATATATATATATATATATTATATATATATATATATATATGCAATAAGATCACAGTAAACAGGTGATTTTAAAATATGCAAAACAATCACTCTGAAAGAGTATTGAAATTCCAAGCGCATTCGGTGACTACTCACATTGTCAAGGAACTATGAAAGCAATACGTCAAAGGAAGGCAATTAAAGGGCTTAGACCACACCTCACAGTCAACTCCCACAACAAAGAAACACCTGATGCGCGACAATACCGGACTCATAAGAAAAGAGGAACACTGCAGTAGGTCCGCTGGTCCAACTAGACAGTGGAAATAAATGGTATAAAATACCGACACAATGGCAATATAAACACAAATGCAGTATAATGTGATCCTTTATTGACTACGTTTCGCCCACACAGTGGGCTTTTTCAAGTCACAAACAGAACTACCTGGGGTGGAAGGAACGCGAGTATTTATAGTCCGGCTGAGGTCAGGTGAAGAATGCTGCATCTGATGATGTACCGAGTGGGGTTATAGAGTCTAAAAACTTGGGTAGCTTGGAAAGGAGATTGGATAAGTTTGTGAGCAGACCTTCTACAGTGTTCTTATGTGGGATAGCGATGAAGAAGTTTCTTGGCAAGTGGTTCAGCTATGTTATAGAAGCCACTATTCTGGTTGAAGTTGTCGGATATAGAAATGAGTGATGATTCCAGGATTCTTCGGTATTGAGTGTTGTCTTCTGTGGCGATAAGTCTTGAGTTTCTGTAGTTTATCAAGTGGTTGTGTGAATTACGGTGTTGTACGCAGGCATTCCTTGTGTCGTCAGACCTGCTTGCGTATTGGTGTTCTGAAATACGTGTTTGGAGGTCCCTTGATGTTTCGCCCACGTATAACTTGTTGCAGTCATTACAAGGGATTATGTATACCCCTGCAGAGGATGGAGGCTTGTCCTGCCTACTACTGGTGATGTCCTTGATGGTCGTGGTTGTGGAGGTAGATACTTGGAATGATGTTTTGGCAAAAATGTTGGAAACATGTTTGGCAATGGAGTTGGTGGGAAGGACTATGTATCTCTTCTCGGCAGTGTCTTCTCTGCGTGTGTTGAAGATGTTTAATGCTCGCCGTCTGCAGTCTCTGATGAAATGACGAGGATAGTGGAGTTTAGAAAATATTTGTTCAATTATAGTGCATTCTTTCCTCAAGGAACTCGTTGCTGCAGATTCTGAGTGCACGCAGGAAGAAGCCTATAATTACACCACGTTTGGTTTTGGTGTCGTGGTGAGAGTAGAAGTGGAGAAGATCGTTTTGGTTGGTGGGTTTTCGATAGACTTTAAAACGAAGTTCGTGGTCAGCTTTGCAAAGCAGAACATCAAGGAAAGGAAGAGTGTTGTCGACTTCTTCTTCAAGTGTGAACTGGATTGAAGGCTCCACCTGGTTGAGCTTGTCTTGGAGAGCTTGAACGTTGAAGCGTTTAGGAGTTATGAGGAGAATGTCGTCAACATAACGGAGCCAGGTGACAGACGAAGGAATAATGGTGGAGAAACGTTCGGCTTCTAGATGTTCCATGTATAGGTTCTCTTTCGAAAATCACCTCTTTCAGCAGACTTTTGGACTACCCATGGGTTCGCCACTCAGTGCAGTCCTGGCGAACCTATACATGGAACATCTAGAAGCCGAACGTTTCTCCACCATTATTCCTTCGTCTGTCACCTGGCTCCGTTATGTTGACGACATTCTCCTCATAACTCCTAAACGCTTCAACGTTCAAGCTCTCCAAGACAAGCTCAACCAGGTCGAGCCTTCAATCCAGTTCACACTTGAAGAAGAAGTCGACAACACTCTTCCTTTCCTTGATGTCCTGCTCTGCAAAGCTGACCACGAACTTCGTTTTAAAGTCTATCGAAAACCCACCAACCAAAACGATCTTCTCCACTTCTACTCTCACCACGACACCAAAACCAAACGTGGTGTAATTATAGGCTTCTTCCTGCGTGCACTCAGAATCTGCAGCAACGAGTTCCTTGAGGAAGAATGCACTATAATTGAACAAATATTTTCTAAACTCCACTATCCTCGTCATTTCATGAGAGACTGCAGACGGCGAGCATTAAACATCTTCAACACACCCAGAGAAGACACTGCCGAGAAGAGATACATAGTCCTTCCCCACCAACTCCATTGCCAAACATGTTTCCAACATTTTTGCCAAAACATCATTCCAAGTATCTACCTCCACAACCACGACCATCAAGGACATCACCAGTAGTAGGCAGGACAAGCCTCCATCCTCTGCAGGGGTATACATAATCCCTTGTAATGACTGCAACAAGTTATACGTGGGAGAAACATCAAGGGACCTCCAAACACGTATTTCAGAACACCAATACGCAAGCAGGTCTGACGACACAAGGAATGCCTGCGTACAACACCGTAATTCACACAACCACTTGATAAACTACAGAAACTCAAGACTTATCGCCACAGAAGACAACACTCAATACCGAAGAATCCTGGAATCATCACTCATTTCTATATCCGACAACTTCAACCAGAATAGTGGCTTCTATAACATAGCTGAACCACTTGCCAAGAAACTTCTTCATCGCTATCCCACATAAGAACACTGTAGAAGGTCTGCTCACAAACTTATCCAATCTCCTTTCCAAGCTACCCAAGTTTTTAGACTCTATAACCCCACTCGGTACATCATCAGATGCAGCATTCTTCACCT